ACTGTTTTCAAGGAGACATTCATACAAAGATGACATTCTTCTGATTTGATGTTTCTGCACTGTAACGATTGCATCTCTAGTACGACAGATGAGGGATATACTCTAAATAGAAAGAATTTTTACCATAGATTCCCTTACTTCAAAGCAACATTTCTTTTCCTTATTTTTCATCTACATTATGCTGCTTAAGTATAAACTGGAAGTTTTCAGCAGCTCCTGGACTAGCAGTCGAGGCCTCTGGATCCAAGTAAATTAGTAATTTATTCAAGAAACTGAATTTTGGACTTCTGGGGGGACTTCAGATTAGCTAGAGACAATATTTTCATCAGTCTGTTACAATCTTTTGTGGTTAAGATTTTGTATGAACACACAGATTGGTGCTGTGTCCTGTTACAGCTAGAGTATAGTGTGTGTGTGTATGTGTCTTGGAAAACATCTGTGCCACCTGAATTTGGATCTGTTACATATAGATGAGCGTTATACCATTTTATTTTGCCAGTCCCACGTGAGAAAAATTCTTTGCAGCTTAAACTCCCTCTCGGCCTCATTCCCAACACTTATCTCTGTGGTTGGGAGGTCTTCTGTTTGTTTGAAGCGGGGCCTGTTATCTCTGAGCACTCTTCTGCTAGATCAAAAGAAAAACGCTAAGAAGAGATCACTTAGTCACACTAAAAATGTGGATCCTACCTCTGTATAAACATTTTTGTTTAAAAGAAAGTGCTGCATCAACAACAAATTTTAAAACCAGAATGTGTGCCTTTAATAAAAACTTGCATAGGAGAGAGATTGGTCTTGATCTTTTGACATTGTTTGTTCTGGGATGTTTGCTGTTCATCAATGCAAGTGAGGAGTCTTTTTGGTAAATACTAGCTAGCTTGTTTCCAGTAGTCACTTCTCCATTTGGAAAATGTTACCTTTTTACTCCACACAAGAAGTCCTATGCCAGGGAAGGTCTGTCAAATGCATCTCTGGTCACCAAGGATAGTGACATACCTTTCTAGATATGTTTATAGGTCGTTTCAGGGCAGCTGAACTGGCTGCTTTGTGCTTGATTTATTTTGGTCGATGCAAACCTTGCTTGCACTTAACTATGCTTATTAAGAGTTTCCAAGCAGCAGCCTGCACTGAACAAGCTGTTTTTCCAGAGCTGCTCTTGTATCATAAGGGAGGGAAAAGCAAGAAGTACAGTTTGGGCCAGTGTGTAGAGAGTGAGAAATAGAGGAAAAAGTGGCAAACTCTACACAATGTTTATTCATAGGTGAAGTGAATAAACTGAGTTGTAAGTGAATATACTGAGCTGCATGCTACTTATTTAGTGGACAAACAGAACAAAAGAATTTTGAAACACTGGGTAGAAGTTTTGCAGGTGAGATCAGTTGCAGCAGAATTTTGACCCTAATTTCAGACCAAGCAGCTTTCAGATGACGTGGACCTTGTGAAGAGGTCCACACATTAGAGATGAGGTGAAATCAGCATCTTAATTTTAGCCCTCACAGTTTCCTCATGACTTGACGCTTGTATCAGGCATAGGTAGATTCTTGCAAACATCTGCTTAGCTATTTTTTCCTTTCCATAATGTTCTCTGCATGAGAGGTGTCCATTTTCGGGTGCCTGGTTCCCATCACAAGTACCTGTCATGTGGAGGAGGGGGCTGTGAGCAGAGATGTGTTTCAGCTTGTGTCCCTCTCGGTGCTAAGTGAGCTTTCCAGTCCTAGGCCCAGTCCTTGCTAAGATCAGTTATGCGCAGGGTGAACTGGTTTTGAGCTTGCAGGACTGGGCATTTTCTTCCTTCACTCCTTTCTCCACTTGCTTCCAGAGATATTTCTACACTAGCGGAGGTATTTTGCTTCTTAAAAAAGTACATTTTGCACAAAACCTTAAGAATGAAAAATGCCTGTCAAAATGGACCTCAGTGAAAAGACAAACACAACATTAATGGTACATTCATTTGCTGTAAACCAAGACTTGACTGCATACAGAGAAAAAAAAAATACTACCATAAGAAGTGGTATGGAGGTATAACTGGGAAGCAGAGACGCACGCAAGGCTGAAAGGCATTCTCCTTTCTCAGACTTTTCTGTAAACTTCTTCTGCATAGTCCTAGAAACTAAATTTGTTCTAGATTGTTTTTGATTCATCAAAAGTTAGCTTTGTTCAGAAACTGCAGTGACAGAGGGATTTCAGTGCCCAGCTCCTGTGTCTGAGGCTTTCATCAGCAGTGAGTGGCAGGCACAGAAAACAGGCCGCTGCTGCCGGGACTGTGCGCCGTCCTCCCAATCCTGCTGCACGTTACTCCATGTCATCTGCCTGGCAGCAGATGCCTTTTCTTCTTTCAGTGTTGCTATTTTGTCTATTAAAACCATATTTCCCTCCAAACTCATACGGTTTCAAATAAACTGCTCACATCATTTGCTGCCTTAGTGGATGTTATTTTCAAAACTGGGATTGTCAGGAAGTTTTTCCTTTATTAAATAGTGCCTCTTTTTAATTCTTCAGTAAAAAAGAAAGATGAATGTTAGGAAAAACAGTTGACCAAACATGTTCTGCGCTGACCGCCAAGCTGGCTGGGGGGAAGTGCACTTGCTGGCTTGCTAAATTGGAATAATAGCATGGACGTTGACGGACAGCAAACCAAGCAGAGCTGGGGGCTGCTTTGCTGACGTGCATGTTGTGGGCTTGCTTTGTGCCAGCTAAGCTGAACTATTCAACTCTCAGCAAGACAGCAAGTTAATTAATAAAGTTCCTTGATCACTGTTGGACTACAAGCTAGCAAGGGTACAGCTTCTACTTAGGTTTTAGGTACAGGAACGTGGTCTCTCCCGACCGAAGAGTTTCTTCGTTTGTACCCTGTTAATGCTTGTGGGTAATAGGTGTTTTTCTTCTTGAAGTGTGTAACTTTGCAGAAGGTTTACTTGATCTCTTTGGGCTTTTTAGGTTCCTGCTAATATCATAGAATCATTATGGCTGGAAAAGACCTTCAAGATCATGAAATCCAACCATATGCCCCTCAACATCCTACCTGCTAAACCATGTCCCTAAGTGCCTCATATGCACATTTTTTGAGCTGTCAGGGATGGGGATTCCACCACTTCCCTGGGGAGCCTATTCCAAGGTTTTGCCACTCTTGCCATGTAGAAATTCTTCCTAATATCTAACCTGAACCTCCCCTGGTGCAACTTGAGGCTGTTTGCTCTTGTCCTATCTGTAGTTATTTTGAAGAAGAATACCTCCAGTAGCTGTAGAGAGTAGTAATGTAATTTCAGGTAGCTGTAGAAAGCGATAGGTCTCCCCTGAGCCTCCTCTTCTCCAGACTGAACAACCCCAGCTCCCTCACCCACTCCTTGCAAGGTCTGTGCTTCAGCCCCTTCACCAGCTTCGTTGCCCTTCTCTGGACACACTCCAGCACCTCCAGGTCTCTCTTGTAGTGAGGGACCCAAAACTGAACACAGTATTTGAGGTGCGGCCTCACCATCCACCACACACGGGCGTGATCACTTCCCTGGTCCTGCTAGCTACCCTGTTTGTGGTATAAGCGAGGAGGCCCTTGGCCTTCTTAGCCACCCGGGCGCACTGCTGGCTCATGTTGAGCCGGCTGCCGACGAGCACCCCCAGATCCTTTTCTGCCGTGCAGCTCTCCAGCCGCTCTGCCCCAAGCCTGTAGCGCTGCATGGGGTTGTTGTGACCCAAGTGCAGGACCTGGCACTTGGCCTCATTGAACCTCATACAGTTGGTCTCAGCCCATCAATCCAGCCTGTCCTGATCCCTCTCCGGTGCCTTCCTACCCTCAAGCAGACAACTCTTCAGACACTGCCCCAAAGTGGAAGAATTAAGCCGCAATGACTCTGCTGTGGCATGTTGTTTCCAAAAAATACCTGTTGTAAAGTTGGACACTCAACTCTGTCATCTGTGACAGTAACGGGACATTAGGTGATAGGACAGACCTATTTCCAGAGCCTGTCCTACACTGGGCACAGCTGGCATGTGGTGGTCCTTCCTGCGGTGGGTTCTGTTCTAGTCAGCTACCATAGCACAGAGCACCCCGCTGGTAGAACAAGCAGATGTGGCAGAGTCTCAAATCACAGTATCTAAATCAATGTCTTAATTAAAGTTATTGAGTGAGAGATTAGGATTAGGGGATTAGAGGGAGGGATTAGAGGTAGCTGTAGGAGGGAATATAATTCTGTCTATGCGGGGATTCTTAAAACTGTGGGTTAATTAACTGTGGATTAATGATACAAGCATATTTTTGAAATCTGGTTTTACCAGTACCTCTGGGTTTGGCTCTTCTTTTTATTTTGTTTTCTGCGTGGGAGCTTCTGGGCAGGGATCTGAGGGTGTGCGCTGGCCAGGCTGATCTTAGGGCAGGGCTGCCTGGTGTTGCTCTGCTGGGCAACAAAGGTTTTAGTTGCAGAAGGGGAATAATCTTTTTATTGCAACTCTAGGGCTGCAGGAATGTCTTTAATGCTGAAAGAAATGCGTGCTTCACAAGCAGAAAGCAATTCTGATAACAGATGGTAAAACATGGACTATACTGAGTATTTGCTTCCTAATTTTTTCCTGCCTCCAAGTATGGTTCTGTAAAATCCATTACCATGGTCAGATACCATTTTTTTGTGTAACTCAAACCTGCTTGACTTGAAAGTATCTTAACCATCAGTCCCATGAGACATCCAGGAGATATATAAAGGGGGGCACGTGTTACTGGCACTGTTATGGTTTTATTCTGGACTTGTTTACTTAATACTATTTGTTTTGATGCTCTCTTTGTAATTGCTCTTTATATTTTTGGAGATAAATTTAATGAAACTTATAGTATATCTAAAAGAATAAAAGATGTAAGTATGGCTAACGCATGGGACTGCTGAGTTCCTGTTTTCATTTTTAAAGAAATGAGACGATGTGTCTTTTCTTTCTAATAGATGTTAAGTTAAATTTGTTAACTTTTAAAATTGGAAACACCTCACAACAAACATCAGGATTATTTTTTCTCTTCTAGCTGCTGAGTGTGCTACGTTGTTCCTCGTCTAGCTACAAGTATGACTTGACTGACTTGCATTCATGGCTCTTGGATGATCCGATGAACCATGGAGCTCAAAGTATGGGTGGATGGAGTCCAGAGGATTGTGTGTGGGGTCACTGAAGTCACAACATGCCAGGAGGTCGTTATAGCTCTTGCTCAGGCTATTGGTAAGTAATTCTGCTAGTTGGATTGCTGGGAATGAGGTGAAGCCTTTTGTAAATGAAGCTAAATTGAGGGGAGATGGGATTGAACTTGAATATTAGAACAAAAGCATATAAAATGCAGTGGAATAACCTTGAACAAAGTTAGCTTGAAGATTTTCTGTTAAACCTGCTGCCGATTAAGGAAAAAACAACAACAACAACAAAACACTTTGAAATCTGTAAACATCCATACAGTACAAGTTTATTCTTACTCTAAATAACAGTACGCTGCTGTTCGTCATTGCAAATGAAGCCTGGGCTAAAGACAGCACTAAGCTGTCATTGTTTGGAGAGCCAAGACATTAAAGAGGCGCAAAACAACTGCCTAGTTTACCCAAGCTAGTGACATTAGCTAAGACTGTACACACTGTAAGTATCCTTGTCTGTACTGGGAAGAGTGTAGATCAACAAAATAGGCCCTTCGGGTTCTCCTCTTACTCTCATCCACCACCTGACCCAGTAGAAGGAAGGGTATCTTGGTGTACTCAATGTTAGCTATTTGGTGAACATTTTATGCAGACACAGAAATCTCAGGCTCCAGTGCAAAAAAGTCCATTTCTTCAGTCTTATCAGATCTTTCTCAGTGGTTAAGGGCATCCTGAATAAGATTTCAACCCTTGTTTGCATTTCCTGTGCTGAATCTTATTTTCTGCTAAAATTTTATAATTGAGTTTACACACTGTTTAAATTTAGACACTGGAACAGCATCTTATGTAAAATTAAATCCATAATTTAAGGACTAGCTTTCAGTTTCTTCACTATTCCAAAGACTTTGCAGGACTGTGTTAATGCAGTCCTACTGAATTGCAAAATCATTTATTTTTATACTTAAAAGATAAAGCCATAAATATTAATTATATATCCAACCTATAATCATGGTCACAATTTGTCAGAATTTCTGTATACTTATTTGGTTAAATATACCTTTGAACATCATTTTTGTGTACTTTCAGTAGGAAAAGAAGCAGTAGAAATTTTACGCCTTTTTATTTTGTATCATAAGGGAAATGAACACAATGCTAACTTGTATATGCTCTGTGTGCATCAAATACCTTTAAAATTCCCTTCAAAAAGTACACAGTGTGTCTCTAAAAATTGGATTCAGTAGTTAACTGTTAAACATGCTTCTCCTGTGTGTGTTAGTGGCAATGTTTTTTTTACTGCTAATCAGTTCATGAATTGCTTTCATATAGGCCTTTTAGACACTCTCATGCCAGTATGATTATTTGATAGTGATGACTTTGGTGATTAGAAGTGCTATGTATAAATCGGTAGTTTGTGGTAGACATTTCTATTCTTCCCTTCTGTTCTCTCTCCAATCCTGTTTCCTTTGCCAAAATCAAAATGTCCATCTCCCTAGATGGACATTCTCTCTCTAGAGAGAGCTCTAGACAATACTCCTGTGTTCTCCTATGTTATTTTCTTTGTTTTCCCTTGTCGTTATTTTTTTTTCCTGTATCATCACTTATTAGAATGAGATCTGAAAAGACGCCATCAGTCAAAAATAAGTAAACTTAAGATAATGTCAGGCCATATCCCTTTGGATGCTTTCTCTTGAGGCAAATATCCTTGCTAGAAGACATCTGAAATAATTTGGCCTCCGTTTCTCACTTCAACTTCTATGACAATGTTAAACACCAGTATTAATGGCACTTGTCTTTAGGTCTTTTCTGACCCTTTTGTCAGGCCATTCATCAGAAAAGCAACCATATGTCTGCTCCTGTGATTTGGCCATATGTACCAGCATACCAGGAATTCCTGTCACTTGAATTTGCATGGGAAGCTATTAAAATGTGTTCCTCTAGCTCTCACCTGACATTTGGGGATGGAGAGCAGCCAGGCTTTGTTGGCTTCCTCCTTGGTTGGCTGTTATTTTGTATTTTCCACTTTGCAGTCTGGCTCCTTAAGAAGTCCCATAGCTTAGCAGCATGGTCTGTCTGCTGGCTGTCTGCAAAGTTCTTCAGATGCTCCTTTTTTTTTTCTCAGGTCGTATAATTTTGTTGCCAGGTCCTTGACGTAAAAATAATCAAAATGCACAACCTTCTTCACTGAAAAAATCTGAAATACAGGCTGCAACTGGTGTTACTCGCATTGAAATGCAACGTTAGGAGCATCTGCAAGTTAGCTCTTACGGCCATACCTACTGAAGAAAGTACTTGCCCATTCCCTTCTCAGACATCCATAGTTCAAGTAGCTTCTTGTGAGCAAAAGAAGCAGCCTCTATCCTAGACGTATGAAAAATAATGCTTTACAATGTATTTTAAAAATGCAAAAAAATCAAAGTCTGGCATAGGATCACAGAGTGGTTGAGGTTGGAAGGGATCTCTGGAGATGGCCTAGTGCAGCCCCACGTGTTCAGGCAAGGCCACCTAAAGCAGATTGCCCAGGACAACATGCATTTGGGTTTTGAATAGCTCCGAGGGTGGAGATTTCCCAGCCTCTCTGGGCACCATGCCCCGGTGTCCAGCCACCTACATGGGAAGAAAGCTTTCCTCCTGCACCCTTAAGTTGAAAGGGAATTGCTTGTATTTCAATAAGGTTCCTTCCCTGTCACTTGATCTGGTGCAGGGTCTGTCTCCTGATCTCCCATTGTGATAAGGGCAGTGAAAAGGTTTCCATATCTTTTGGTTCCCAACCCTCCCCTTGTCATGGAAAGTCAGAAATAACATAATACTCTCGGGTTCTGAAGAAGGCTTTTTGGCATGCAAAGATATGGACTTATATTCCAGAGTTATTTTAGTCCAAAATAGCAATTCATGCTAGGGTACAAACACTTAAAACCAGACCCATAACCAAAGTGCAGCCTAATCCTTTGGCAATCAGTAGCTGCTGTATCACTTACCCTGTCTATATAGAGCTCCCTGGCCTATTCCTTAGAAATTGATGTCTGTTACTATTACTCACTTAGGGGAAAGGCCTGCACATCTTTCTTGCACAACCATCTCTGAGACTGTACTGTTCATGGTTGTCATCTGGTACCTGTTCTTGCCTTAGAAGATCCTTCCCCCACCACCTCTCTCTTGAGCATTTAGGAACAGTGAATGATTCTCCTCCAAGTTTCTGTTCAAATTAGATTTTATTTCTATTTTGCTTGAAGCCAAAGAGTTGAATTTCAATCCTCACTCAAAAAAAAAAATTCGCAGTCCCAGTCAAGCTATTTTAAAAAACATGTGCATATATTTTAATGAATGAACGAGAGAATGCTAGCAGATAGATGTAATTTTGGATGCTGAAACTGATGGTGTCTCCAAGTTAGGAGGAGTTAGAAATGCATTAGCTTGAGGGAGGGTCTCTGGAATTCAAGTAAGACATAAAACTATCAAGCTGCAAGTTTCCAGAGAATGAAATCACTTTCCAGTGGGATCTTAGAAAACTCATAAAAGGTAATATTAAGTGTTATCCAGTACTGTTTTCTTTCCTTTTTTTTTTTTAACTGAAGCTGCTTGTAGATTACAAAGCAACAGGAAGACTTGACCTTATAATACAAGTCAGAGAAATGATCTTTTTCAGATTTAGAAACTAAGCCCTCACCAAAATGTAAAAACAGTTTAAAGGAAGAATCATGTATCTTTCTTTAAAAAAACTTTTGCCAGGAGGGATGAGCTCACTTTTTATCACATTCATCATTGTCTGCTTTAAAAATGCATATTTGACAGCAAACTCTGAATGTAGTTTCCCTGTTTCTGTTAGCCTTCCCATGCATTTTGTGAAAATTCTGCTGGAACACCTTCTTGCAAAGGTTGTTTGTTCATTTTGATTCCCCCTCTTAAAATGGGCAACTGAAAAACAAGTGAAATTGTTCTTCACCTGTTATATGTATTGTGAAATGGGAAGCGAATTGGGTCAGGCTTGTGTTTTGCAAAGCATTTTGTGAAGCTTTGTATGGACTTGGAGTCCAAAGAACAAGCCAGATTCCTTCCAAGAAAAAAAAATCATTGTGATACAGGAGAAAAAAAGCAGATGCCGGCCTAAAGAACATGTGTTAGCTGATATATTAGGCAAATACGGCTGTGGAAAAGGGTTTGTTTTGTTTTGTTTCCTTTTTAGGTTATTTCTAGTAACTTTGACTTTTTCTAGATACTTTCCATGGAAATGTAAAATGTATTCCTCCTCCAGAGGAATATGATGATTAGCACAGAAGCAAGTACACTTGTCCTCTTTTTTTTTGTTTGCTTTTTGTTTGTTTGTTTGTTTTCTGGAAGTGATTTCCTCCCAGTTCTCCCCCAGCCTGCGTCTTTGGGGATTTCCTTCCCCTCTGGAGATTAGAATGGATCCTCTGTAGCCAGAATGACGTGTGTGTTTCCCAAGAATATTTCTGTGTGCAGAATTTGAGCTTGAACTTCTCAGCGAAGTCCTAATTTCCAGGGGTAAATAATTAAAACAGCAGAATTGCTTGAAATATTGCTATGGATTAGGGCTCTCTGGCTGTAGATCAGGAGAATATAGCTATGTATCAGGAGAATATGGACTTTCTGGGCAAGAAGTAAAGCTATCTATTTAAAATTAAGCAGTGCAGTCATCAGTTCTTTATTGCTGTTGAGGATTTTTCCTCTAAGATTAAACAGGTAGATTAATAAAAATAAAGCTCTCTCCATGCTGTTTCAGGCATGTGTTAGGGCATTATAAGGTTCAGGCACAGCTGTATCTGGAAAATTCATATCACTTCATTGCTTTCCTTCCCTCCTCTAAATAGCTCCTGCTAAAGCAAGTGCCAGAGCTGGCTGTGAAAGGCTCCAAGGGAGAGGATCTTTCATGGAACTGAAGCACCTTGGCCAAGCTGCTCCCCTGGCTTTCCCCTGCACCTCTTTATCTCCCTAGGAGATCGGTCCATCATGTGCACGCCTACTTCAGGGTGCTTTGAAAGGCAATTGAAAGGATGAAATGATTTTAAGTGTGTTGTTTTGCCAGGTTGTGATTAACTCTGTATGCTTGCATTTGAGAGAAGAGATAATAGTAATAATCCATGGCTTCAGTCCCAATAAGGACTTGTAGACACATTTTGCATACAGTCAGGCCCAGTGGAGACTACATAGATCTCCCTCACTGTCAGTAGGTGTGAGCATATATATTTCTTTGGATGTGTTCCCTTAGGACAGGACTGCTATTCTGATTTTTGTTGTTTTGCAGTTACAGACTGTGGTATGAGTTAATAACTCTGAGTAATAAGAATTCTCTCATCTCTATTTTAAAGGCTCTTTTAATCATTCTTGTCATTTAAAGAATTCTCAGGTAGCCAGAATGGTGTTTCTTAAATTGATATAGGTGTTTACTGAAGTATCACGTAATATCGGCTTCGTATTTCAGAGGGATTGAGTTCAAATCATAATGGGTTTATTAAAACTACCAGCATTACTTTTCTATCTGTGCTGCTGAAGATTCAGGAGCAAATGTTGTTGCCGCTTTGGTAAGACAGACTGTTTTCTCTGAACTTGCTCTTTCCAAGATGTTATTCTAAGACTGTCCCTGTCCCAGAAATGCTTTATATGTTTAGGCTCCTGCACCTTTTAGAGGGATGACAGGAATGAATCTTTTCTATCTTGACAGTGTTGATAATCTTTGAAGTGTGAGTCCTATCAGAGGTGTTGCAGAAGTGTTGCTACTGCTACTTTCCTTTTGAACTGTCATTTTGGTTGCAGCAGCAAAAATAGTTGCATTTCTGTATTGTTGCAACTGGAAATGCATACTGAGAAGCTTTAGAACAAGTTGTGCGTCCTACACTACCTTCATGGAGTATGATTTAAAATCCCACCTCTTGAGAGTCTAAAAAGTAGTTGTAAGTCAACTGCTCCTCTACAGTTCACTGTAACAGACTCTGTGCTGAAATCCTCATAGCGAGGTTGGTCCCAAACTGAGGCTGCTGCAGGTGGGCAGGGGACAGGGGTGTTTGCTGTTTGCCTCTACAGAAGAGCAGCAGCCAACCCACGGCCCTGGTTGCTGGTAACTCCTGAGTGTCCCATTGAAAAAGTTGGAGCTACAGGCGTTAGAAAAACCCTCCCCCTCGGGCTCTTCGCCAGTTCAGCTGCGGGCTCGCGGAGCACCCACGTCCCAGAGGCCTTTTTCCTCTTTGATCTCTCTTGCTGTTATTTAAAAGAGGCATCCTTGTATGAAGGGAAAGTGTGTTAAGCTTGTGGGCTTAGCTAGCCTTAGGGTCAAACTCAACCTGCTCAGTCTCAGCAGGGATCCTTAGTGCAGGTGCACTGTGCTTTACATACCTAAACATGTATGTGCTTCTGGGGCAGCTTGTAATGCACTGCCTCACACATCAGCTATGAATTCTTGTTGATGGTCTTGAGATAGGAAGACAAGATGGTGCACATCAGGCTGGGTGGATCCACACAGAATACTAACCAGAGGTAACTTGTCCTGTGCTGCTCCCAGGCCTTGAACTGCTGTGGTGCACAGAGCAAACTGGAGCACAGCACAGTGCTTGTGTGGGGCTGGTTGCATATTTTGTACCATTCCTATTGGTACACTAGAAGTGTCCAAAAAATTAAGTTAATGTGTTACACTGCTGTGTCATAAAAATGGCAAAAAAAAAAAAAATGTTTTCGAAGCTAAGGGGCCCCCATACAAGGTGCACAACCAACCCCTTGTGAACATCAGTACAGTTCTTGAAGCTGTACTTTGGTAGCTCCTTGTATCGCGTGCTTAACTGCTCATCTAACTTTCTTGCCTGCAAATATTTTATAAATCTGCAGAAGACTAAATGCGTGGTACACCTCTGAAAAAATAGCATATGGTTTAATGAATGTTTAACTGCTGATAGGGGACACATTACATGAGTGCAACTGCCTCCTCGTAGATGGTGGCACATCAAAAATAGCAGTTAAGAGGGTGCCTGTGTTAATTTTGAATTAACTTATCCCCCCTTTCATCAGTGAATTAGCAACACCTGGGCAGCCACAACTGTGCTTGCTCACAGGAGGAGGGATTAATCAGGATCAGCAATAGCCTGAGTAGCAGTAATGATCCCACATGAGAATAGCTTTGTTTTGGGCTAGTCCTGAGCTGTATAAATACCACTGCAAAACATTGCTCTCTTTATGTGGACCCTGAATGCTGAGACGGTGTGTTGATTTGGAACTGTAAACAGGATGGAAATAGTTCTTGGCAAGTGCTTCACTTAGTTATTTAATTCAGTTTTGGTTGAGATTGCTAGACTTGTGGGTTTGGGTTTTTTGTTTTTTTTTTTTTTATTTTACTTTTTTTCCTTTCTCTTCCGTCTTGGTATGTTTCTTTTAAGTAGTGTGTTTAGCAGCAAGGCGAATAGAAATCGTGTGCTGATCACACACCTCGTTGCACTCTGGTTACAATTTTAAGACATCTTTGAACTCGGCTGTTTCTGACACAACAGAATTTTAGTAGCATTACTGTGATTGCAGGCTCGAAGCTTTTAAGATTAACAAAATAGGACCTTTGTCCTGCAGTGCTTTTATTTCATTTTTCTTCTTTGGGATTTTATTGTTACATGCCATGGTGACCGGCACTACATTTATTTTTCCTGTAATAACACTGATGCCTACTGCAGGCTGTAAATCTGCATGAATCGATGCACACTGTTGTGGGCTGGCAAAAGTCTCTGGGTTTGAATCTTGGCATCATAAACTCGTTTCTAAAGTACTTTACATCTCATTCTAAGAGAGTTAGCCAAGAAGGTTGGTATGTTTTTTTTTAACTTGCAGTGCTTACCTTGGGTCATTTATTTATAAGGTATTAAGAATTTGGATTGTTTTTTTCCCCTGCTGCTTCCTGGTTTTGCCAACTACTGTCAGTCAAATCTTGACGTCCTCTTTTGAGCTCTCACTCCTGACTTGGAAGTGAACACAGGGTGTTGTTCCTGCTGTTGTTGTTCTCCTTCTATTTGGCTACGGACGATGGCTAGTGTGACCCATCAGCCAAAGTAGCCTGTTCTCTGGTTAGTGCCTGTCGAGCCGATTTTTCTGGTTCTTTTAGCGTTGTCAGCTGACTGTGAGAAAGCGAGACCAGAGGAAGAAAGCCCATTATTTCGGGAGCCGCTGGTAATTACATCGCGTCCTCCCCACTGCCCAGTTGCATAAGTGTCTGGCTCTTTAAGCAGTTGTGATGAAACAAAATTGTATTTAAATGATAGTCCATCATGAAAGTTTGTGTGTACATGTATATTATTAAAGCAGCTTTCCTTATATTTTCTTTAAATTTTCTTTAAGGTTAATGGTAATAGTAGAGCTGTATGGAAAGCCACTGGGATAACCCCCGTTAAAAGCAGTTTATCTTTCCAATCTTCCTGTAAACAGTGCTGCATCTTTTAAGGAAAGGGGCTTTCATGATAAAAGAAACTGGCTTTGCCCTGCGTTTGGCAAGCACTTTATCGCAGGGTAGGAGGGGCAGTTAGAAATAATAAAGCAATTAGTGCAAACCACAGATGCTGCCTTTTTTTGTAGCATTTAAAGCACCCTATAGGGAGTGTCAGAGGAAAAGGATGCTTAAACTCAGCTACAGGTGTTTGGCAGCACAGTTTAATCCTTAGTTATGCGAGTTATGCATCTTGCTGCTATTAAAAGTAAACCACACTGTGCTGTGCAGCCAGCGGTTTCTATAGAGCTCAGAAAGAATCACGGCGGCCAGCAAAGGACTTGAGATTCCCGGCATTTTCCTGAATCCCGTATATTCCGCAAGGAACTGCCAAGTTACTCTCATGGATTAGG